GGTTTTTTGAGGGTTTTGGGGGATAGGGTTGTGTTGTAGGGGTGCTTTAAGACTCTCCAAAAGGGTTTCCTAGCAGTGGGCCGGTTCCTTTAAGGGTTCCCTAGATTTTGTTTAACGGCTCCCTTCAAGGTTCCCTCTCTGTGTTGTCACAATGGTGTTGTTTTTAGTTGGGGGGGTTCAGGGTTCAACAGGCTTTTGGTGTCTGACATCCCAGGGTTTAGGGTTTAGGGTTTAGGGTTTTAGGGTTTAGGGTTTAGGGTTTAGGGCTTTTGGCATCCTGATGCTACCGCTGTGTCACGCAGTAGGCCTCATACAGGGATGTTAAGAGCGTTTGAGGTGTAAGTCGGATTTGAGATTTGATTTTCTCAGGTTCTTATCGCTGGGGGGTTTGGAAAGGTGAACGTGAAGGTGTTCATGGGTGTCTTGTTGTTTTTTGTTAGGGCTTCATGTCTTAGTTGTTTTATATAGGCTTTTGCGGGAGAGGCATTCGGTGTTCCATGTATCGGGGGATCCGTATCCCTTTGTTGCTAGTGTTCTCCATGTCTTCACCGCGCGTTGAAGAAGGATTTACCACCCGTCGGTTCTTCGCTTTTCGTTCACAGGGCTTTCTTCGCTCTGAGCATCAAAGGGTGACGAGCGGGGAGCGATTTGGATCAAGGGCTGCAGGGAGAGTTCTGTACTGCACCTGAAGCAAGCCGGTCTAGGGTTGTTGGATTTGGGTTTGGGGTTTAATATTTACCTTAATACAGAAGCCTGAACAATTACCAAAGTTATTCCTTACTTGTAGGCTTCCCCATTATCATTATGGTGTAATTTGCACCATAACCGTACTCCAACTATGATGGCCATAGAGTTTGGGGGTTTGGAGGGTGCAGGGTACGCTGGAACCTAGCCCAAGAGCCCTAAAGCGAGTCTTGGGAGAGGGAATCGGGGACCCCTATAAACCCTTACAAAGGTTTAAAGGACCAGACGGTTCAGGGCTTCGGATTTAGAGTAGACGCTGCCTATGACCATCGTCACTATAATCATGATTATATAATCTGGTTTTAGGGTTTAACATTTACGAGTTTCTTTGAAAACAGAGTTCTATGCCCTAAACCCTTCTTGGGGATCCAAAAACCCACCGCTTCAAGGTTTAAGAGTTCTACCCTTGAATTAAGGGTGTCGTAACCTTCTATTTTGTAGGGTTTGGGGTCACAGGTAAACCTTAAACCCCTTATAAACCCCTTATAAACCCCTAAACCCTAAACCCCCAAACCCTAAACCCTAAACCCGAAAACCGAAACCCTCTCTGTGGCAAGGAGGATGACAAGGACCTCCGGCGGTGACTTGACCCGAAGCTCCCAGAGGCTTCCAGCTGCCTTTGGGATTTGGGTTTGGGGTTTAGGGCTTAGGGCTTAGGGCTTAGGGTTTAGGGTTTAGGGTCTAGGGTTTACGGTTTAGGGTTTAGGGCTTAGGTTCCTAGGCGCTAAACCCTGCGCGGCTTAGGGTCCTAAACCCTAAACCTGGAGCCCTAAAGCTTTCGGGCTCTAAACCCTAAACGTTTAGGGTTTAGGGGTCAGAATGTGGAGGGACCCCCCACCCCCCCCCCGCCGATCCTGACATGAAGGCCCTTGAAGAAGGGGTTTAGCGTTTATGGGCTCGGGGCTATCTACTACAGCTCCTGGTTTGAGGAGTATGCTCTTCGAGTCCTAACATTGAGGCGTGTGAAGGGGGTGTTTAATTTTAATCGCTTCGCGTCGTCTGCCTCGGCCCGGCCGCAAACAAAGAGGGCCAACGAACTGCTGGGAAGGGGAGGAGATTGTGGCCTGCCTCATTTTGCTCACACAGAGCAACCGCCCCCAATGGCACTTTTGAGGGGTGGGGGTCACTGGGGAGGGGATTAGAGGTGGGGTCTAGAGGAAGTCCGAATAGGAACCTCTGACCGCTTCGGCCGGGGGCCGAGGCGAATTTTGATCAGGGATCTACATGATCCGACATACTACATACAACAACCAACGCCTACTAGACCTACTTTTAACCACCCGGCACCCATGACGGGTTGATGCCACCCTAAACCCTAAACCCTAAACCCTGAACCCTAAACCCTAAACCCTAAACCCTAAAGCCGACATTACAGAACCTTTCCCGCTTGGCTGAAGTGCAGATAGCAGACTTCGGCATGACACTTAGGGGTTCAGGGGTTCAGAGGTTCAGGGGTTCAGGGGTTTAG